CTTTAGCTGAATCCCGCACTACTGCTTTCTGAGGTTTATTGGATGATCCACCACCATGAGACTCCTTGTGTTCACAAAGGATCGACAGCAGGCAGTACGGATCGCTGAATCCTGTTGTCAAATATTTAGATACATGTAGAGGCTGTCTGGATAGTAGTTGTTTTAAAATCATGAAAATCCATTATGCAGTTTGTATGTTTATCAATACTAATCTGTAAAATTAACAACCCTTGGTCAAAAAAAAAAAAAAAGATATAATCATACCACTAATGTCCTTTCCCAGAATTCCCTTGGCTTGTTTCACTGTAACCATGAGGCAGTAGATCGGGGCCTGTTCGTGAAGATATTTACATATGTAATTCAGTAAATAACAACATAATAAACATAATGATATACAGACTAAAATAATATCACATATTTTTATTGAGTGAGTGAGTGAAGTGTGACCAAGTATGGTGTCCTTATGTCCCATACTCGGAATTTGTGCTCTGCATTTAACCCATCCAAGTGCACACACAGTAGTGAACAGCCAATGGCTTTAAAGGCCTTTTACATGCGGTATAGGCCTTATACATTACATACATGTGGATTACATTACACATGAGATTACATTATCATATTTTTATGACATTATTCTTACCAGCATGCTCTGGACTTTTTCACTTAAGGTTTTATGTTCATCTTCTGTCATGGTGAATGCCTTTCAGAGAATGAATATTTAAGACACATTTAAAAAAAAAATACAAAATGCAACAATAAAATGAATAACAACAATACTGTAAAATATATGAGACTACAAACAAATCCAGAAAGGTGTGTTACCTCTTTGATATAGTTTTGTAACTGCTTGGCACTGTATTGATCTTTTGTGTGTGGTTTTCCTAACATATGAGTGATTGTGTACAGAAGCTCCTTGTACAGCGGTTTGAGCTGCAGGGACAATAATAGTCATTATTCCACAAAACTCACAGGAAAATACTTGAAGTTATTAGTCTCTGATGAATCATTACCTCCTTCTCTTTATGTCTGTTTTCACTCTCCTCTGGGTTCTCAGAGTCTTTGAAATCCTGATGGTTAAATTATATCGTAGCAAATATAATAATTTGTTTACATTATACATTGTCCTTTTAAAAAAAAATAAAATAGCATCAATAGAGTTTTAAAATCTCTTTTTCAAAAAATTTGTGAGAAATTATTGAATGAATAAGTCCTTACCTTTCTGTTCAGTTTTCTGGTCATGCCCATTCTCCGTGCAGGGGAGGACTGAGAGAGAAAGAAGAGTTTCATTTAAATTCAGAAATCTGGAGAGAAATGCAGAAATTTAGAAAGAAAGAAAGAAAGAAAGAAAGAAAGAAAGCATAAATAATTATACAGTACCTGCCTCTGTCGGATCCGACTGGACCCTGCACTTTCAATGTGGGTCTACAGATATAAACAAATTAAACAAAGAGAGTACTTGATAATTAATGTACAATCTGCAACACTTCTGCAGTCATCAAACTGATATAGAAAGTACATGAAAATACCTTGTCTGCTAGCATGTATTCAGACTAGTGCTGACAAACGATTAATCGCGATTAATCACATCCAAAATAAACGTTTTTGTTTACATAATATGTGTGTGCGCTGTGTATATTTATTATGTATGTATAAATACAAACACATGCATGTATATATTTAAGAAATATATGTTATGTTTATATATTAAATATATTTATATATATAATATAAAATGTAATAATATAAATATATATATATAAAATATATATGTAAATATTTTCAAAATCTATACTGAATGTGTGTGTATTTATATATACATAATAAGTAAACACAGTACACATACATATATTATGTAAACAAAAACTTCTATTTTGGATGCGATTAATCGCGATTAATCGTTTGACAGCACTTTTCAGATACAAAAATGTATGCATAGACTCATTACATCATAACGTACAATATCATTACGTCATAACGTTGTCCATTCTAATTCCTGATATTCCTATTTTTATTGCTATAAAATATCCAGCAGAAATGGAATCATTTATAAAATAATATCTCATAAACCCTTTTGTAATCAGTTATCAAGTGTCGGGTTACACATTGAACATGCCCATGCAAATGTTGTTGGCTTATCTTCTCTGCAGCACTTCCTTGTTATTAGCAGTAAGGAAACTTCATCATGACCCACCATCATGGGTTTAGAATGTTGCTAGTGTGCAGAAAGTAAAGGCACCTTGTTCTTACTGAAAAATATGTGATAACATTTAATAAACGGAATAAATGGTAACGCATGTCCCCTGTAACAGAGACCAGTTTTTTTTTTTTATATGAACTTTTATTTTATTTTATTTTTTTTAACACCAAGACTTTATGTTTAAATGTTTCTATTTATGTAACTGGTCACCATTTCAATTTCTTTTTCTTTTCTTTTTGTTTTGCATTTAAAATAATAACTAAAACGAGTCCTGCAGTGTACAGTGTAAATTCTTTTTTAAAAGTACAAATGTTGTTGCTCGATGATTATGAGGTCACTAAACTGAATGATAATTATAAACGAATTATAAAAACAGTTAAAAGTGTTTTAGTATAGCACTGCAGGTCACTGCTGTCACTGTCATGTCAACTACCCTCAACTCATACCACTGCTGTGAGCATGCAACATATAAAACATTGCTTTGACCCCAGAAAGATAAAGATTTTTTTTTAAAAAGTCATGCATTTTACTAACCTCTTTAGGAGGAAGAAGTAGATTTTCCCCTTGTGTAGATGCCCCATCTTGGACTGGAACCATATTTTACAGCTGCACTCCACACACCTAACCCGATTATTCAGCTCCCCTAGACACAAGCAACGTGAATATGTGACAGATGCTCACAGCTTTTCTTTTGTTATATCAAATAGTCAACCGCCTAAATGGACACAAGTGTTGAGTCTTCAAAAACGTCTCATGCTTATGAGCGCAGTGTTTCATTTAGGGTGCGGAAGTTGGCGTTTCCTGTTAAAGGTCGGACCTGCAACTGAACTGTTCATACAGCAGAAACTGCTACCACGTCGTCTCCTCCTGTTGTTCTGTCACTCCATCTTCCTTCCTCTCTCTCAACGCACCACTCTATGCCACTCACTCTTTATCTTTACGTATTTAGAGTCTATTTAAACCAGCACGGTGTAGTCTTGGTAGCTTCTTATCAAACAGGATGCTCTGCTCTCATAGTTTCCATGGTTTGACATAATGTATGTCACCCGTCTGTAGCTGTAGCACACTAACTTTGTTTGCACCATTTCAAGTGGCTGGTCCTTGCAGTGTGTTATCCATTCTGGTGAATATCAGCAGATAACATTCAGTAATAATGGAGAACACCACTGATTTGCATTAGGAAAGGAAAAAGCTTTAGACCGCAAAGCAACAACGGTGTTAAATCTAACCGTTCCCAAAGTCTCTATTGGGAAGAATCAATGGGAGACTGTGTTTCTTAAAATAAAGATGAACTATTACAGAGCTCATTAATCTGAAGATATTGACTAGACTGGATACAGGATTAAATCTTAAAAGCAACGGTAAAATAAAGTAACGGGAAAGGAAGCCATTTTTTTTTCTAGAAATGGTCTAGGTTTTTTTGTTTTTTTGTTTTGATTTCTACTGAAATAAATTACTGGAAACGAAAAACATAAAGAATACACCAAGGACCATTTGTATTCTCTACACACTAAAATGAAAAATGCTGTACTATGTCCAGAGGCATGATGGCATAATTTTGTTTTATTAAGCATCATTTTCCATGCAGAGAGCATGCCATTTCTGTTGGGTTGCTGAATCAGTAACCTGCAGCAAAAGTTATGATGCTAGTGTTTGGAAAGTCTTAGTCATTCAAATTATTTTTGATCCCACCAACATGTAATTGCATATTGCATTTGTAAATGGGAAATCCCCATAAAACACATTTCCCCCTCTATATTTAGAGATGTAAACTTCCAAGGGGGCTGTTTAAAATATATAAAATAATATACAAAATATAATATAATATAATATAATATAATATATCCTCCTGAGAACCAGAAATAAAAAACTTTGTGAATTTAGTATTTTTTCATGCCATTACATTGAGAATATTGATATGTAATTTGTTTTCCTATTCAATTCTTTTGTCTCCCAAAATGTATAATAAACATGCTTTTAGTCCTGGTGTCCTCTACAGTGGACATGTATGAAATTATGTCCTGTTTCATAACAGGAAGTCATATTTTGATTTGAAACCCCATAACATTTTCCTGAGATGTTGATTTATGACAAACAATTTGAAAATTAATCAGATTTAAATTATAATTACAAAATATTATCATATTTCCATAAGGATGTACAATTTTATCACTAAATTAATGTCAGCCATTTTTAAAAACCAAGGAGAGGGAGTGGCCATGGTGAAACATCCAATCATTTGGTATCCGTGGAAAGCCCTGAGTGTGCTCTGTACAGGACATCCAGACTTAAAACTGTGACATGTGAGGTCTCAGAGAAATTCACTAACATAGAATGTCCACTACAGAGGCAAAAACTCCATAGCTGGGTCTCAGGAGGACATGTCATAATGCTTCCAAACTATTTGTAGTTCCCACTGCGGTGTAAAGAGTAAAAGCGCCATCATGTGGTCATTATGAAGAACTTCTGCTGTTGAGAAAGATGCCGATATGCAAAACACAGTGAAGATTAAATCAGCGCAGAACCGTACTATACATTTATTTATGGCTGGCTTAATCTTTGGTAAATATTTTACTAAAATAGTTTACTTTAGTTTGCATTATAATGCTTATATTCCATCCTAGGTGTGTGGTACATTAGTATTATTGTGTGTTGTGCTATATTGTTTGTTGTAGCCGTATTGAAAGTCATATTGTATGTTGTTTGTTGTGCTGCAAGTCATATTCCTGAATGATAATAAAATTTGAACTCAATGGGAAAGGAGCAGCTTCCTGTCCTTCACAATAACCTTTGTCTTCGGCACGCGCCGCTGGTGTAGTGGTATCATGCAAGACTCCCATTCTTGTGGTCCGGGTTCGATTCCCGGGCGGTGCATAACTTCTTAAACCCCTTCAAATGAAGCAGAAATATTAGCAATGAGCAAGCGTTGATTAACTGGATGTCGATCGACTCTTCATAATCATAATCAAAAAGCACCAGTCGAACATATTAACATTTCAAAATACTAATGTCAAGCCTGTTCACTTTCTGATCTTTTCCGATACAGTATTTCCTCACAGCATTTACTGGCAGTGACGATACAGGATTGTTTTACAGGTATTTAAATAGCTTCTGTTTTTCTTTCACTGTAAACTTATCTGGCTTTTGATTGCTTGCCTTCAGAGACTGCCTGTTGTACGAGCAAATAGTATTCGAGCGCGGGCTGTGAACGAGCATTTCATTGGTTGGACCAACTGAACGAATACGCCCCCTTCGTTGAACACTGAACAGTTGGTGTGGATTGCTCGTGAAAGGGAGCGGAAAGTGTGTAAAAAAACGACCGATAACCAGTGTTGGGGGTAACGCATTACAAGTAGAGGCTTATTCATTTCACTTTTGGTGAGAAAAGGCTTTTATATTTGCCAAAAATATAACTTTTTTATTTTAAAAACAAACAAGCAAGCCCTGCCCAGATTTAAAAAGTAACGCAAAAGTAACGTAACGCATTACTTTCCATAAAAAGTAACTAAGTAACGTAATTAGTTACGCAGTATTGTAATGCATTACTTTTAAAAGTAACTTTCCCCAACACTGCCGATAATAATATACAGTTAGTAGTAACATGTTATTTATGAGTTATATAAAGAAACGCCGGATCCCTTGGGAGCTTTTTAAAGAAGCTAAAACGAGTTTGATCGGCTTGGTGTTTCGATTGAGTGAAAGATTCAATGAATCACTCACCAAATGGCGTATTTCTGAACGAATCCTTTAAATGAAGGGAGTCAAACGATTCGCTTGAATGAATCAAAGCATCTGGCGTACGTTTTTTAGACTAAATGTGGTGTTACCTAATTGTTGCTGTTGTAAAACCATAACGGGATGATCTTTCATTTACAGACACAGACTTCCGCTAACACTTAATCCACAACCACGGACAAATACTTTCTCCACGGAAACTAAAGTAAACAACTGTTTTACTAGGCTCGGTGTACTACTGTTGAAACTGCTACCACTTACTAATATTATATTGGATGATTTTGGCTAATGTTACTGCCTTCTTAGTATACATTTCTTGTATGTAGAAGATAAAAACGCCTGCTAAATGAATACGTGTAAGCGAAGGTAGCTTGTGGGATGTCATTTTGTGAACTGAAGTGCTTCTGTTGTTGCTCGGCAACAAGCGTCATACGTTTGTGTAAAGTCTCTAGGAGGGTGTAACGTTAACTGAAAAGTTTGAGACTTCAGTAACTGTAAAGTCTTTTCAGTGAATCGAATGATTTCTGTTATTTATAATTCCTTACCTATTTATTTTTTTTTTAAATAGCACACTTGAATGGATCTGCACATTTCTAGATCATTAACATGACTAAAGTGAAATGTTTAAGGGGAGAATCGGGTGATTCAGTGCTCGAATGGTCTTGTAAAGGAGAGGATGAGGAGTTCAACATTTGTGGACGCTGTCAGTCGTGTGTCCTCTCTGAGAAACTGCACCACTCCACCCAATGGATGAAAAAGGCTGGAGGAGCATCCCAGAGGAGGTTTCTCACTGGCATCCTGGTGCGGTGCCACAATCTTCAAATCCTGGAGAATCTTCAGAGTGTTTTACAAGTCACATCAGGCAAGGATTTCACATATGCCAGGTCCAGAGGCCAGCTCAGCCGACCCGAGGACTCTATATGTACAATGTATGGAGCACTGGACACAAAACTGAAAGGAATGGACATGTTGGAAACTTGGGAATGGTTTAGGAAGAGCCCAGACTGGATCAAGTCCAAGTATGTGCTGGGGCTCTTGTCTTTATGTGACACCTCTCTTTTGCACATGTTAGGAAATCTGGTGCATATCCTGATTGTTTGGGAGAAACACACATTTCTAAAATTCGGCAGTCCTGGTAAGAATGCACATAACACCGCCAACTGTACAATGATTATGAAAAAATAATAAAAAGCATCACATATTAGCAAATTAAAATTCACGAAAAGGATTTTAGTAAATGGCATGAGCCTATATGATTTCTAGTAAATTATAAGTGGCAAAATCAAAAGGCAGGTCTTGAAATATACAACATGTTGTAAATATAGTACTCATATGAGTTCAGCATTTTTCACCAAAGTATATCCATGTATATCAATGCTTGTAGTTGAAGTGCCACAATACTGTAGTTCTTCTGTAAGCTTTTTTTTTTTTTAAACAGATACATTGAAGGCTTTTAAACATGGTAGTTTTATTAAAAGATATAGTATCTTGCCTGATTATATATTTTTATGCAGATCTCTCAGTTACAGAGTCACGAGTCTCCTACCATTCAGAATCTGACCACACAGATCTAGATCTTCTCGTCCAAGCATGTTCTGTATATGAGCCAGCTGACCTGCCTCAAGCTCACCAGGGCAGTCAAACAGATGTCTTAAAACAGAAGCTTTCAGAACAGTGTAAGTAGTTAGCTTTTTGCATTAGTGATCGGATATTCCATATTAAAGTAAATATATTTATAAGTTGTGGGTCTATTATTCACTTATTATACAGTGAATGACTCCAAATCTCTCAAGAGTATCTGTGATGTGGTTGAGCTGGACGTTCAGAATGTAGACCCCTGGAACAGAAGAACAAAAGGCCAAGATTCAGACTCGGACTGTTCGTATGATCCAGATCCTGCCCTCACTGTCGTCCCCAGGTCGTCAAAATCTCTGTCAGGGGTCAGCCGTCATAGAGATTTTATTCGAAGCCTGCCAGTCGACATTGCAAAGAGGATTTTAGGTTAGTCTAGTTTTTACACACATGAAGCTAATAAGAGATTGACTGTTCAGACTTACGGTCAGAATTAAGTATAAACAGATTTTATTTTAATTATCTATAATGTCTGTCACTTTTCATATTCTCAGATGTTATACATTTAGATGCTTTATTTTAAATTGATTGGTATATGAGTGCATGCTTAGTGCATGTCCTTTTGTTTTCGTCACCTTTGTCTTTTCAGACCTATGAAATAGTCTAGACTTGTGCTGCTATAGAAACAATTGTATTGCCTGTGGACAAGAAGGTTAGGTTGACTCTAAAGCTACTCTTTACCTAGACTAGAGTGTAAAAGACTTAGCAGCTGAACTTAAACCACACTAATGGCAAATATTTTTTCAAGAGCTCTAATTCTAAGAGAACTAATTTTTCTGAAATTACTATTATCAGAAATTCTTGTATCTGAGCTTTAGTTGCCATAATGTATATTTTAACATATAATATAAAATTATCTTTATGCATTTATATTAAATGATCTTTATGCAATTATGCATTTTTCATCCTAAAGGTAGCCTAGCAGCATCCAGACGTATGGACACATAGCAGTTATTTAGACATAATATTAATCTTTTTCTCCTGTTTTACATATTTTCATATTTTTTGTTAATGACACTTAGGGCTTTTGGATAAGGTCTCACTGTACAGCTGCAGGCGTGTGTCCATGCACTGGCAATGGCTAACGGAGGAGGTCTTAACCGAGTTGGAAGTAAAGAAGAGTGTTGAGAAACAGGCCATGACTCTGCAGGTAATACATAACAGAATAAACAATATCTATGTGATTTTTGACATCTCATGGATATCAAATATATCAGTGTAACCTGCAGATCAGCTGGTAGAACGTGGTGTTAGCAATAGCAAGTTCATGGATTTGATTCCCAGGAAACACACCTACTGTTAATATCCATATCTTCAATGCACAATGTGTTGCTTAGGATAAATTTAAAACACACCAATTTTGTGAGTGTGATCATTTATATTTGGTCTGTCTTTCTTTTTTCTGCCACATGAAAGTAGTTCAAATGACTCATGTAACTTTGTTCTTAATGTTACAATTCAACCCTGATCATTTGTATGCATTTTCAGGGTAACTCAGCGTCTAAGGTCAACCCTGTTTATGCAAAGATCTGTGAAGTTGTAGTGCCAATCAGTGAGGAGGACAAGCATGTCCCCAAACATAAGCTGGTACAAAACGCCACCTTTTGCACTCTGAATAGAAACTGAAACACACTTTTTAATATCTTCAGTTTAGACATTGTATAGTTTTAACAATTCCTGTGTTTTTAGTTACAAGAGCAGGATTTGGATTCTATCTACAAAGGCTTTAAAACCAAGACAGTCCAATTGGAAGAACGCAACGTGTACTGTGGAGTGTATAACATATCAGTCCTGTTGGAAAGGTAGAAAACATGTAAGAATATACTGTAAGATACATGTGTTAAATATATAGATGCATCATAGTTTTAATACTTCCTGTCACTTTTTTTGCTCCATTTAGAGAAGATCCCAGTAGAGTGATGCATTATGCTGGGGGGCAGTTAGTGGCGGTTGGCTCCAAGGACCGTATAATCAGGTTGCTGCATGTCCCATCACTAAAAGAGATTCCTCCAGTGATCCAAGGACATGCAGGTAGTATAAGAGCAGTGCTGGTTTGTGAAGAGAGAGACCTAGTTATCAGCGCCAGCTATGACCTCAGTATCAGGTTAGTGAAACATTACTGTGGTTGTTTAACAAAGTAAGATCAGAGACAACAGTGCTTCATTTCTGTACTCCGCTCAAAGGTGCTGGAATCTGAAGACAGGTGTATGTATGATCATTTTTCATGGACATTTTGGGACTATAAACTGCCTGGATTTGTATGACGATAGACTGGTGTCTGGAGCCAAAGACTGTAGAGTTAAAGGTAGGCAGTTATGACCTGTATATAACTATAACAACACAATTCTGTATAATGTCATTATGCCATTAATGCCGAGTTCATACTGCACGATCTGCATAAAAATCTATAATCAGGAAAGATACTATATTTTAATAAATCAACCATGTTTAAAAGCCTTCAATGTATCTGTAAAAAAAAAGTGAAGTGACTTTTTTTTTTTACCCTTTAACATATCCGAATCATGTCCATGATTTTTTTGTGTGTTCATATTGCTAATGTGACAAAAGTCACCAAGTGTCATCTCATTCCGATGAAGCTAAGATTTTTAAAATTTCAAAATACCAAATTTTTCGTCAAAAATGACCAAAGAGGGCCAGAGGGTTTTAATGCATGCCATTACATCCCTGTACTAGTAAATGTGTGTTGAGGCACAATTGCCATTTTGGGATGATCAAATGTGCTGTCATTAGCATATTGTCTGCACTGGCATACTGTACACCAACAGACCAAAGCCTAACAGCTTGAAAGAATATATGTATATCTATTTGTGTATATTCATCACAGTGTGGAACCTACTGACGGGGAAATGCATCGAGAATCTGAAGTTTAAACACCTTAAACCAATCATGTGTGTGAAGATTAATGAAACACTGGTGATCAGCAGCTGTGCTGGAGGTCAGATCAGAATATGGAGCATGGAGACAGCATCACTTATAAGGGTGAGATGCTTCATGATCTTTTACAGAGCACAAGCATGTGTTTTTAACCTTGGAAAAGCTTTGATTTAGAAAAAATAAATAAATATTGGCATTCCTGACCTCAGCAACATGTTCTCTGTTTAACTGCTACTGAATAGTTGAATGCTAGATGTTCTCCCTCGCTTGTAAATTCTTTCCTCATTACAGCAAATCAGTGGCCACCAGGGGGCAGTGCTGTGTCTGTGCATCAATCAGTGGCATATCCTCTCTGGTGGTTCAGATGGGGTGGTCAAGGCATGGAGCACCAACTCTAGCTTCAAGAAGTGCCTGAGGATCTTCCAGCATCCGAAGTAACTAAACAGTTTTGTCATCAGTGACCTTACAGCTGGTCATCCTCATTAATAACCTTTAATACCATAACTGTGCACTTTCAGAAATGGTTTGCTCTCTTGCCTATTCTCTATTATAATCTTTAGAGAGGTGTTGACCATGTCTTTCCTGTTCCTGCGGATCATTACTGGCTGCATGGACGGAAAGATCCGGATCTTTAACTTCTTAACTGGAGACTGCTTGAGAGTTATTAAGACAAACATGAAGCAATGCCCTGTCCTTTCTCTGCACACGCACCACAACACGTGAGTGTACCCTACAGCCGGACATATCATACAATTTTGCAATGCTGTTCTTTCTTATGTTATGTAATTGGAAAAAGATGGTGTAATAAGGTTTGATTGATGTTTTCTGTCATGCTTTCAGTGTGGTTGTAAACAACAGAAGCAGTGTTCTGATGCTTCAGTTTGCGGACGTTCACTGGGACTACTCTGCCAGTGCTGTGAGGAATTTTTTTGAGCAGTCCCACGTCTCCCCTGAGAATGTGCTTCGGAGTGCTGAACGGATGACTCGTGGGAGCTCATCTAGACAAAAAAGTCGTTCCCACCATTTTAAGAGCCTCTCAACCCCCAGTATGCAGCGTGCACAAGGTACAACCTTTCAAATAGATTATAGTCAAATTTATATACAGAACATAATTTATAATCTTTGCTTACAGTGGTTTATGAACTACAATAAGCAACAATTATGTATACTATTAAAATAAATAATTAAATAAATGCGTTGTTTATTAAATAGTTTGCCATGTCTTGCCAAAGAATGAACTAATGTGGCTGACATTCATCATACTTACAGGGGAGATTTGTCATTTCTGCACTACTAACATCACCAAAAAGAATTAATGACAAAAGTAATGACAGACACTCCTGTTTACATGTCAGTTCGCTCCTCAGCCATATTGTTAACACTCCTGGCAGCTCCTATCTACTAGAATAGGGAAAGACCGAAATCTCATAAAACTGTTTTTCAAGTAAAGATTATATTTAAACAGTATAATTAAAATCAGAACAAATTTTGACAAGAAGTATAGTAATTTTTCTTTGGATTCTATGTATAAATGTGTGAGTTATGATGGACAGTGTATAGTTAAGAAAGTTTTAATTGTTCAGGCTCAATATAGCCTGAGAGAAAAAACTGTTTTTGTGTCTGGCTGTTCTGGTGGTCGGAGCTCTGTAGCGCTGACCAGAAGGCAACAGCTCGAAGAGAGTGGGCTGGCTGTGTGGGGTCCAAATTGATTTTCTTAGTATCGAAAAGGAAAAAATGTTGGATGGTGATTTGTTTCAATCCACCGGTTTTTCGTTGGATGGATGCAGATCTAAATGTAAGCTCACAGTCTATTGTAAGAAAAGTAAATATTTGGATAATTCCAGTATATGTCACTAGAGAGAAGTCTGTCATTTCATCAGAAGATCAGAAAGTTATGATATTTTTATTAAACATTATGAGGTCAAAATTGCAAAAAGAAATGAAACATGCATCAATGAATCATTAACATGCATTTAGAAAATAGATAGGGTGAATTTTCTTTTCATGCCGACTTTAACATTGCTGTTTTGTAGCTTTAGATGCTCAGCAGGAGTCCACAAAGACACTCCAGGCTTGTCGTCACAGCAGGGCTTCCATCAGCCCACAGTCTGAGTCCCACGCCAGGCCTCGATCTGTTCTTTCAGCAGGTAGGCCTGTCAGTGGATACAAGGACTTTCAAAACAGAGTCAGCCAGACACAAAGCACTTCCACCAGCAGCTTGGGTAAGAAAGTAACTGAATTAAAATAGTTTGATATGCAAATGTGTAAAAGCTTTATAGAACATTATTTAGACATTAACCCTTAAATGTATGAATGTTTCGCCAAATTCAATATTTTGATCACTGGCAACTTATTCACCACATCCAGCATCAAATGACAGTGACATTTATATTTCATTGCGTAGTATAGTAATTGCTCTGCAGTAAAGCCATTCAGATCAGTTAAATTTTTGCTGATGATATTCGTGTTTTATGCTGCCGTAATTATGAGTGAAACGTCATGTCATCATTGTGTATCAAACAGTGCCACCTTGACGAAAAAAGATGCATTGCTCATATTGAGTCATCAGATATGTAAATATAGTTGCGCAGTAAAAAATACTTACACATTTACATACCTCGGGTCTCTAGCGACCCTATACACTTTTTACAAAAAATTAATCAGAAAACAGGAATTCTTTTATATTTTACTATTTTTTTTCTTGTTATATTGTTTATAATTAATAGTTTGAGGAATTCAAATAAGAAAGTTGATGTCTAACTTAAAAAAATGAAGGAGGGAGAGGGTAGAGAATGATGTCCCGGGTCGCTGAAGACCCGAGGTATGCATTTAAGGGTTAAAGTAGAATGTTCATACATGAAACGTGAGAATAGCTTCTTTATTTAAAGATAAGAAGACTTTTGACACCAAACGTTCAGTACTCAGCCAGAGTGAGAAGGCAGCCAGAGACAGGGTGAGAAAGCGAGGTCCTCACCACCCAATGGCCCAAGACCTAATTCTACTAAGGACCAGCAGCACCCAGCAGGGCCGGTACAGTGACCTGGCAAGGTCCAACATGGAGCTGAATGCCAGAGTACGAGATGCCTGGGGACCTGATTCCTCCAAAGAGCCATCATTTCAAACCACCACCAAAAAAACCTCCGAAATCCATACCTCATTCACTACCCATAGCGTTGACCTCAGCCCTCAGAGCTCCTCACAGTCCAGACAGACCTGCTTCACACCCCACTCCCTTCCCAAACAATCCCAGAGATCATTCAAAGTAGTTAGGCCTAGAACAAACAAGACTGGTCCACTGAATACGACTTCCCCTGAAGATGGCAAGACACCACAACGATTGTTTATGAGGCGAACCTCCATGCCCACACATTGCAATGAAGATTTTGAAATGACCAACAAGTCCAGTTCATATCACGTCCCACTAAACCCCTTCAGGGAGCATGGAGACTTTCAGCTGAGGACAGACACTCAACTGGAGGCTTACATTCAGGAGTGTACCAGACAGCAGCAGATTCACAAATATGGCAGTGGTGATGACCAAGGTAAAACTATTTGGAAGCGCAGTCATTGTCAGCAGTAAGGTACTAAAATCTAAAGGCATGACACTTTTGTCATAGCTAACCAACCATAACTGATTTCTCAGTTTAAAATTGTTTTTAAACTCTATAGAGGTAACATATATAATAACGTAATACAATATTTAAAATGTTATGTTGCATTTGGTAACTTCGGTTGCATTTGGTTGAAAATGTAGTTTAAGAGGGTAACTCGGTTTAGAACATACAGTGGCAACTGGTCCAAGCTGATCATTAGCTAGACCATTTGGGACCAGCAACAAACCATCTTCCAGGTGGTTAAGCTGGTTTTTGAAACATGGTGGTTGTTCTACTAATAACCAGGTAGAAACCATGTTCCAAAACACAGCTAAATTGATGGATGTAGCATTATATCTATGCAATTTGAGCTTATTAGTGCCATGTCTTTCTTTTGTGGCTTTTTTTGTATGCTTGAACATGTTTGCTAGGGGGCAGCAAAGTACAAGTTAAAATGTCCCATGTAAATATTAATCTCAGGGTGGTACATAATTAATTAATATTATTTGAAGTAGTTTTAAAGGATATGTTGCATTACATTGTAATCTTTATACATTTTCTTGTTTAAGATTGTGTGTTTAAGAGTGTGATTATTTCAGACAGTTCATCACCAGTTCTGCATGCATATACAAACACTGACTTTTACCTAATTAATGAGAGATGCTGACAAGAAGTAAACATATTTTGCTGATGTTGGAGAGACAAAATAAATTAGATTTGCCACACACTGTGAGTAAAGAGATCTTTGAAGAAACTGTTTATATCTCTGTCAGAACTCTGTTATTTTATGTCTCTTGTCTTAAGCTGATTCTTATTAGGGAGCTGTTCTAATTTAAAGATTGAAACAGAAAAATAGTTTTGAGATGGGGTTTATTATTATTGAAAGTAGATGATGTGGCAGGCAATGTAAAGCTGTCTGCTTTAAACAAATGATGTTCATCAAATGAACATCGTCTGTTGAGGTTTTCTAATTCCAAAGATAAGTATGTAGCATTTTAATGTTGAGTTTTATGTGAGTTGCATCCAGTGATCTTCATTTTGCATTTTTACCTCTTAATTCTTGTTGTTCTGGTGAAATGACTTTGTATGCCGGACTTCTCCCATTCATTTAGTCTGGTTAAATTCTGCCCCTTTCTTACAATCGACTGCAACCTCGCATTCAGTCAACTGTGTCCATCCAGTCAACAACCAATGGATGGAACTTGAATGTACCTCACAACATGAAAGGAAGAAAAAAATTGTATTACTTCCATTTCATTCCAAATTTAACGTAAAAGCCAAAAGCCAATTAGAATAAAATGGCTTCTGATTGGTCAATGAAAAACAGCAGCCATGAAATTAAAGAAAATTTGTGCTGTTAGCAGTCATACTGTTGCTGCTTTCAGTGCTTCTTTTATTCTGTCATCTCTGTTTAGCCATCTTTCTCCCTTTGAAAATGAACTGAACATAGAGATCAACTCAAAGTCAGTTATCTGTAAGTTTCATAAAACTATTGCCTCAGAAAACATGTTTAGTCACCACCGCTACACAGACAATGTGTTCTTTGGTAAGCCTTCATGAATCAAGCATGGATTGGATACTTCTCTGCACAATACTTGCTGGTGAGTGTCTTTTTCTTTGATTCACTTATTCAAAACAAATGTGTTCACTACAAAGTGATTTGGAGCAGAAATGAGTCATATGATACTTCTCAAAGTTGGATCATTGATGCCATTGGTTTTGTGTCCAGCAGCTGTTGGTGACCCATCCTGATCAGTTCTTTCTACTTGCCACCTGCTGTCCACCGTTGCCTTCAAGGCATTACTGAAGGGTGTGGATGAGGTTCTGTTCTAGGGAGGGTCCATTTGAGCATTCAACAGCTGTGCAGCAGTGCAGCAGAGGAAGCAAACGGCAAGTGAAAGCAGTGGAGAGTGAGGGGTGGGCCGCAGTAAGAGCAATCACCCCTCACCCCTGAAGTCCACTCTCTCAGGAGCTCTCGTGCTAATTTGATTTAATCTGCAGAAAATTGGGCTTCACCGTATCCCTCTTTTCTTTCCAACCAGTGACTGTGTCTGAAATCGGGGGGAGGAGAACGCACTCCTAAAAGCCTTCTCAGTGGACACTGAAATCCTGAAAACCCAGCATTGTTCCCCCAGGTAGCGGCCTTGTTGTCTGGGGTCACCGGCTCCATGGTGAGATAACGAGCATGAAATCAAAGCAAAGGTGAACAACAGACAGGCTTCATGCAGGAGTGCGCACAAGCCTCCTGTTCCTCCCTGAGACCTGGGGTGGGACGTATTGAGGCTGTTCGTTGGGGTGAGGGGGCTGGATGCATGTAGGAAAGGAGTTTCCTAGAATAAAGTCTCTGCTTTGCATAAAGCAGCTCAGATGTGAGTTGAAAACCTGAACAATAAGGCGGAATCGGTGCATATGAATGGCCAGAAGGGCTTGTGATCTCCATTTGACTGGGAGCGAGAGGGATTTAGTCATGACAGTCTGTCAAATCACATTGCTGCAGATGTGCTGCATAGATGGAGGTGGCAGTTGGAAGCACATGGCAGGCTGTTGCTTAACGGTCCTGGTGGCTCATATTTTAACTCCTAAACCACAGTTTATTTGCATGGCATGTTGACATTTGACAGAACTGTCCCCAGGCTGGGTAGACATGACAGAATGAGGGTATACAGAGGAACTACATTAATTAGGCCTCATTTTGGAAAGAAATGAATGGCTAGTTTATGCTTAGCTTTTAAATGAGGAAACCTAAACCAACCGATACCATTCAGTTTGGATTTTTTTAATATCACCAAAGCATTTGTTTGATCAAAAATACAGTAAAAAAGTAACAATATGGAATATGTTTACAATTTAAAATATCTGTTTTCTTTTTTAATATTTTTTAAAAAATGTTTGTAATTTTCCTGTAAAATTTTAAAATTTTAGTCAGCCATTACTCCAGTCTTCAGTGTCAAATGATCTAATATACTAATTTACTGTTAAAAAAAACATTACTTATCAATGTTGAAAACACTTGTACTGCTTGATATTTTTAGAAAAATTGAATTTTTATCCTTTTCAGGATTCGTTGATAAATAGAAAGTTTAAAAGAAAAGCATTTATTTGAAATACAAATCTTGACTTTAATGTCACTTTTGATCAATTTAATGCATCCTTCCTGAATAAAAGTATTAATTCTTAAGAAAAGAAAAAAAAATGTATACGCTGTCATTTAAAACTCATATCAAGTGTACATTTTGTTTCTTTGGAACCAAGTCCATTATGTTGTTGCAATCAATCACCATGGTGTACTAGTTATGCTACAGGAGCTGTCAGCTGATGAAAGTATTATCATTTGGCAAATATTAGATAAATATGCAAAGGTCAAGTGCAGTTCATGATAGGGTAAAGCATTTGGACAGTTCTGTGACTACAGATTCTGTGTGGGCCTGCTTACATGTACTGCCAGTAACATAAAATGCTTTTTTGTAAGTCTCTTTGGTAAGAAAATTTCTGCCAAGAAGATTGACATGTAGTTAAGATTTATTTAAAAAGATTGAAATGATTCATAGTGCAGTCCAGTGTTAGTTCTCCATCCAGAAGTGCTTGTGTCATAACGTCAAGCCGCAGTGTCACGACAAAGGAATCGCCATTATATCGAGTAGCTAAGCTAGAGTGTGTAATTCTCGACCGGGATGTGATGTGAAAGGAAACACAGTAGAAACAGATGGTTTGGCTTTCTTTGTCAAAACTGTTTCTCTTTATTTCCTAATAATGTTTTCGATGGAGAGAAATCTGAAGCTAAATATCCAGTGGCTGAAGTAAATACTTCAGTCGTTGACTAAATCAAGCTCGATCTAAACCTGATGACATCACTTAAATACAAAAACAGTGGAACGTGGAAGCCACAGCTTTTCTTTTATTAAGACTCCAAAACCTAGTGAACTGCCTTGCTGTCTACTGGCTGCGTATGCGGTCTTGTAAGAAATGAAACTTCACAAGAGGGTGATTTGGGACGGTTACACGAGCACAAAGTGCACAAGAGGTTTGACTCAACATTTGATTTATATTTATATCACAAAAAGTGCTGCAGGAATGAGTTCTAAATCCTGGAAATACGTTAGAATTTTTTGCACTTCCAATTTGCCCCAGTGGGTTTTTGAATAAATGCCTGAAATAAGGTCTGTGGTTAACATAAGCTCAAGATATTTTCGTGTTTTATTCTACAAATAACCCACTCTATTTGTAATTTTTTTAAGCTTTTATGTGTCTTCAAGAAGGCATTTACTAACAATTGCTAAAAATAGAACAACAAACAGGTAAACTCCACTACTCACTAGTGCACATTCACAGCCTTTTTGTGTTTATACAGTACTAGTGCTTTTGCAAACTATTCTAGCTCCTCAAACTTACACAGATTTTAAATAAAGACTGAAGAGTTGTCAGAAGGTTAGTGGTAGTCATGCAATTGTGATGCAGTGTGTTATCCTAATTTTTGCTTTTTACTTTTTCGTGTGATTGTTTTTAGGCTTCAAAATTCAAAAAAAAAAAAAAAAGCTGTGTTAATTTGTGAAGATTATCTTGATGGAAAAAAGAAACGTATGAATAATAAACTTGAGTAGTGTTTTTATAGTTAAAACTAAAGCTATTAAAATCTGTTCATTAATTGAAATATAGCTAAAATAAAATTTAAATATTAGATGAAAAGCTTAAACTTGTACATTCGAAATTGATTTGAGTTTACTGAAGTACTAAAATTATTTAAACTGAAAGAAAAAAATCAGCGCTAAAAAGACATTGCAAAAAAAAATCTAAATACCATTTATAAATAATACTTAAATAGCTAACACTGTCACAGAGCTCACATATCTCAGAAAGCAGCATAATTATATGCCTATACCCTATAAAATGCTGAGTACGCAGGCAGCTCACTAGGTTTTTAAATAGAGCCTTAATGTATCTGAGGACAATAATATCTGAAGATCTATGGGTTGTCTGAAGCAACCTAACTGGGAACTTTCGCTTACAGTAGGTCACGTTTCTAGAAAAAGATTCAGATAGAAGATGGAAGCTGGATTAATTAGCTTTGCTGATAAGGATTGAAAACATAAGCTGAATTTGGGTGGGCAATTGCCTCTAATTCCGAGCTGTGCTATTGGACTAATTCCCTCCCAGCTCATTCATATAGTTAACCTTTTTGCTCATTGATTGTTTTTTATCAATAGCAGACATTGTGTGATTTTGGTAACTTTAACTTGTTCAAAGAGCCCTTGATTAGGTCAGCCTGGTGGAAAGAAAAGTGTGGATCAAAGAGTGGAGCGCTGGTGGACGGGGTGCTGATTTTTTCAAGTTGACAGATTGTTATTTTCAAGTGTCAGTCTTTGTTTTCGGTGATGCCTCCCTGCAGGGCTCAGGTTACCAATTTATGGCAGACCTGAGAGTTTGGTGTTTATAT